AGAAGAAAAAAGTTTTTTTCCATTCTCTTAATCTTCAGGCATAAATATAAAATCTAAATATTCGATGTTAATATTTTATACAGTTAAATCTTAAGTCATAAGGTTTAAAGGAGGAAGCTTTGGAGATGATCTGTACCAATAAAATCTTATAGGACATAAGACCATGTTGCACTCGTTTTCACTCAGTAAGGCTTCCCTTGTGCCATTCATACCAACAACCTTTTCCACTGTTGATGTGTTTTTCTTGGATGGTTTTCTTAATTATAAATTACTAACTATATGGATATCAATTAAAAGTGGTGATCACACTCGAGCTATTAATAAAAAAAAATGATCATGTAATACTTTTTTTTACATATAGTGGATATAAAGTCTAAAAGATGAAACTTTCAATCTGCATAATCATTAAGTAAGAGTGATGATTACAGGAGTTTAGGACTATACATTCTAAATATAAGTGATGCAGTTATGAGACTGACAATGCCTAAAGCAACCCTTGTAGCAACCAAAGTAGACACAAGAGGTGTATTCTGCATTTTAGATCTCTTGTACACCCTCTGCAAATTTCATGACTTGCTCTTTCTTGTGGATCTCTTGTGCAAGTAATGAACTTGCCTATTTTTTTCCACCAGTAAGCCTTATCTATTATTTAGGATTACATCAAGCTTGTAGTATTTGATTTTTTCATTTTTTCCACAACTTTTATGGGCAGAAATTAAAAGTTGTGTGATAAATGACAGATACTCAAACAAGTAAATTAAGTCATAAAGTTATATAAGTAATCAGTTTCTTAATAGCAGTTTATTTTATCACAAGACTTAATGTTTTGGAATAGAATACATTGAATTGCTAATTGCATCTCTATGCCTCCAATTCCACCTACTTAATATTAATTGATAATTCCATCTTTTCTATATATATTTTCATCCATTTGTACATAATGTGAGGAAAATATCAAGTCTAAAAATTACTTTAAAGGCTAAAACTTGAGGTGAAAATAAAGAGAACATAATGTGAAAAAAAAAAATGACTATGAGCTAAGAGGAAAAGAGAACAAATTGATTCTTAAATAGAAGAGCTTCAAAGGAGGATGAATTTTTCATTTTTAATCTCTAATTGACCATGTAATGGAATATGTTTTTTATGTACAAGATCGATAATAAGTTAATACTAACTCAAAAAATTTTAAAATATATTAAATTAATTAAACTTATAAGATTAGTAGTAAGTTAAGTTAATATTACAAAGTAAAATTTGTATGAGTATACAATCATTTAAAAGGCTCACAAAGTGCTAAATGTTGTGACCATATAAACCTTTTATAACAGTCATTATATACTACTGTATACTTGATTTAATAAAATTTTTTAATCATGTGATTTATTTACTAATGTAAAATAAATATATATATTCTCTAATTTAAATAAAGAGAGATAAAAATAGATTAACAATTTAAAAGCAATTGTTTTAAAATAGGAAAATAAACCTATATAATTTTAAAGAAAGGAGTATTCTCAATTAAAGTTTTTTAAAGAAAATTATAACTTTCTAAAATTACTATTACTTTAAATAAATTAAATAATAATAAGAACTAAAATAAAATATAAATTAAATAATAATAAAAACTAAAATAAAATATACATTTATATAGGTGAAGTAAAATTAGATTATAGATATGCATATAAATAATTAAACCAAGACATAAATTTATTTAATTTATATAGCATGTATAAGTAAACATTACGTATAAATAAATGAACAAATATGTGTGTATAAATAAACATGCAAAAACATACACAGATATATGTATAAAAATATATAAAAGTGTTATACAAATATATGGGAATATATATTTAGATACATATAGATATGTATATGTAATAAGAAAATAAATATATATGTGTATTTGTGTGTATATATATATCTATAAGAAATATAATGATGCCTTGATAAAATATATACATATAAACATTAATATTCAACTATTGCATGCATATATATATATAGGTATGTTATATATATGTGTGTGTAAATAAAATAAATTAAAAAAATAAAATACAAATAAAAGAAATTAATTTGAGTAGCTTGCCGCAGGAAATGATTAACACTCGGGCAGATTGGTTGCCTCTGATTTACACCACTCACTGTTCCAAGTTGTGGCAAGGACCGAGCGACATGGTGAGCTGCTGTGATGACAGACTAGGTGTTAAGAAAACTTGCCATCTTTGCCAGTTGTGGTCAGCCATCCAATATATCAATGGTTGGGACGCCGTGCATGTGTTTAGATGACTGAGATGTTTGGTAAATTTTGATAAAGTCTTCCTTCTCTTCACAACTTCGTCTTCATCTTCTTCAAACCTAAAATTCGAGTTAAACAAGGGAATGAGAGGGGAGGTTGAAAGCAGAAAATAATAAAGAGAGAGAGTAACGCACAGAACAGAACACATGTTCTGTGTGAGTATCAGAGGAGAAATTACTTCTTGTTGATGAGGTGAGTCATTTCTTCCTCTTTTGATTTGTTCATTCTAGTTTTTTGGTTTCTTAAGACAATTTTTATTTGGAAGATTAGCTACTAAATTTTTGCTACAAGTCCTAGAACTTAAAATAATAGCTGCTGCACCTGAACAAGGCCTCTGTTTAGGTAAGCGTTTGTTCTCCATTCTAATTCCTTTTCTATTTTATTTTTTGTTTATAAATTCATAATCAATCATTAGGACAACATGTTTAAAAATGTTAGAATTTATTTTTCAGCAGTAAAACAAATCATAAACCCGAATCTAGCCTGAAAACATCACTCAACTTTGCATACATAGTCATACTGAATTGCAGAAAAGAATTTTCAAAATTTCAACAATTCTTTCGTGTGATTTAGCTTATGTTTCATGCTTTTATCAGGTAAAATGGATAATATTTTAGATTATACAAAAAATGTCCTTTATAGATTATTTTAAATATGGTAAACTCTTTCAAAAATTCAAACTAAGCGGTGTTTTAAATGGATAGAGTGAGTGAGTGTCATTTTCATTTTTTTTGTAATTTTTATTTACTAATTTTATGAGTTTTAACATTTAATTATTATATTAATTTAGAACAAATTAAATAATGAATAATTATTAGTAAAACTAGGAAGAAGGGAACGAAAAACAAAAGTTCATATGTTTCTGATAAGAATGTCGAGCACCAAAGTGCCCTGTAGTTATGCAGTGCTATTCTGCAATACTAGTTCATGGAAGATACATTTTTTCAGACACCCCGAATAGCCTTGAACTTATTTGGCATGGTATAGAAATGCATATGCCAAGTCGGAGGGTGCAAAGATTGATCCGGGTATCTATGAATGCCAAAGATGGAAAGCTGGCAGTGTGCCATTACACAGAGTCTATTTTCATATATGCCAGTTGCTTGTGAAATAGGCCGAAGGACCGGGCTGGTTCGACTGGCATGAAATCATGCCGAGAAGCCTTCACGGTAGCCCACTGGGCTAAGGGCCCAGCATGGAGACTTTCTCATTGATTGGACAGTTAGAGAGATTGGGATCTTTGGGAAGAACCAAGAAAGAAAAATTAATAAAAATGAAGAAACAATAGAAATTTGTAAAAGTTAAATTAGAAGATCGTTAAGTGTATTATGAGATGAAAATTAGGTAAGGTAATTGTGATGGTGGCATTAAAATAAAAATAAATTATTCACAAACTTATGTTTTTTGTCCTTTTCTACCTAGTTTTGCTAATAATTACTCATCATTTAATTGCTACTAAATCAATGTAATAATTAAATGCTAAAATTCATAAAATCAGTAAATAAAAATCAGCACAAAAATGCAAATAACACTCACTCTATCCATTTAAAACACCACTTAGTTTTGATTTTTAAAAGAGTTTACCATATGTAAATTAATCTATGAAGGTTATTTTTGTATAATCTAAAATGTCACCCATCTTACCTGATAAATGCACGAGAGAATTGTTGGAATTTCAAAGATTATTCTCTGCAACTCAATGTGATTGTGCATGCAAAGTTGAGTTATGTTTTCAGGTTAGATTCGAATTTGTAATTTGTTTTTTTACTTGAAAATAAACTCTAAAATTCCTAACAAGTTCTAATGATTAATTACAATTTTTTTTTAAAAAAACGAAATAGAAAATGAATTGGAATAAAAAACAGACACTTACCTGAATCGAGTCATTGTTTAGGTACAGCAGCTACTATTTTTAGTTATGGGACTTGAAGCAACAATTTAAGAGCTAATCTTTCAAATAGAAATTATATTAGGACACTAAAAAACTAAAAAAAACAAATAGAAGAGAAAGAAATGACTCACCTTATTAAGAAGAAGCGATTTCTTCTTTGATACGCACACAGAACACGCATTTTTCTAGTGCGTCACTCTCTCTCTCTCTACTGTTTTATGCTCTCAACCTCCCCTCTCACACTTGTTTAATTAGAGTTTTTTGTTTAAAGAAGATGAAGACGAAGTTGTGAAGAAAAGGAAGCTTTTAACTAAATTTAAACCATCTTCTGACTGTCCAAATGCATATACGGCATCACAGCCGTTGATATGTTGGATGGTCGACCACAACTGGAAAAGATGGCCAGTTTTCATGACACCTAGCCGGTCATCACAGCAGCTCACCATGTGGCTCGTTCCTGGCCACAATTTAGAACAGTGAGTGTTGTCAAATTAGGGGCAACCAATCTGCCCCTGAGTGCTAATCATTTCCAGCGGCAAACTATTCACATTAATTTCTTTTATTTGTATTTTAAAATTTTATTTTAGTTACACACATATATAACATACCTATATATATATGCATAAAATAGTTGAATATAGATATTTATATATATGTTTATCTAGACATCACTATATTTATTAGAGGTATACATATATATACACACAAATACATATATATGTGTTTATTTTCTTATTACATACACATATCTATATGTATCTAGATATATACACACACACAAGTACTTATATATGTGTTTATTTTCTTATTACATACACATATCTATTTGAATCTAAATATATATATAGACACAAATACATATATATATATATGTTTATTTTCTTATTACATATATATATCTATATGTCTCTAAATATATATTCCTCTATAACACTTTTATATATTTTTAAACATATATATTTTTTTGTATGTTTATTTATACACACATTTGTTTAATTTATTTACACTTACTATTTAGTTGTACATGCTATATAAACTAAAAAATATTTTATCTAGGTTTAATTATTCATATTTATAATCTAATTTTTGTTCACCTATATAGTATATTTTTTTTAGTTCTTATTATTATTTAATTTGTTTAAAATAATAGCAATTTTAAGAAGTTATAACTTTTTTTAAAGTACTTTAATTGAGAATATACTTTCTTTAAAATTGTACAAGTTTATTTTTCTATTTTAAGACAATTGTATTTAAATTGTTAATCTATTTTTATTTCTTTTTATTTAAATTAAAAAATATTTATTTATTTTATATTAATAAATAAATCACATGATTAGAAGATTTTATTAAACTAAATATACGATAAAATACAACTGATTATTACAAAAAAGTATTTTAGAATTTTTATTAATAATTAGATTATGTTTTTGATATTAAATTTTAACTAATTTTTTTATATTATTATATAAATATATGATTTTAACTAAAATATTGCATTAAAATAATTAATCACATGATTGTTAAGTATAGTAAATTTTTCAAAAAAAACAAATAAATATATCACATTACTTAATAAAACCACGTAATAAATATAAAAAAACAATGAGAATATACGGATGGAACAAAAAATTTAGCATGTTGATCAAGCATTCATGAATAATAATAAAAAATTAACGATCACATTTTTCATGAAGCCAAGACTTTTGAACAAACAACTAGTTAGAGAGTCATGTCGTCCACCACCTCTATGCCTAGAGCCTCTGCAGATGTTGCCGCCAGGACCATAGGGATTTGTGTACTATACAGTAGAAGATGGCATGTGCATCTAGATTCCAACTGAAAGTGGTGATTAAGCTTGGGTTGTTAATTAAAAAATGTGATCATGCATTCTAGAATTTACATACAATCAACATAAAGTCTGAAAGATAAAATTTTAAATCTGCACAGTCATTAAGCTAGAGTGATGGTTAGGGGAGATTAGTGTTGTGCATTATGCATACAATAAATGTAGGTGCAGCATTGACAACCCTAAAGGGACACTTATAGCAACCAAAGCAGACATAAGAGGTGTATTCTTTATTTTGGATCTCTTGTACACTCTCTGCAAGTTTTTTGACTTGCCCTTCCTTCATGAGCATCAGAGTTTGTCTTTTAGAACATATATATACACATTACTCAGTATAACATGTAGTGAATTTACGCATAATATATACATATACACCAAATGATATAAGATTTATTTCTCATAAGCCAGTCAGACACTCCACCTTTTATTAGCCAAGCATCA